TGTAATGATATATAGCATCGTAGACGTGTTTCTATTGTCCGGTTTTGGAGGGACTGCGACAGATCGTATTGGGCTTGAATTTTGATTCCACCCACACTAGTTCACAAAGCTTTCGTCTCCTATTGTTGAGATGCGCCAATATTAAGGACACACCAAATTACCCTCGAGAGCAAAAGCTATCGAATTCGATTTTGTTATTACCGCTCGTTCCAGCCCGAATATCCCGCTTTTCTAGGAATTTTCATTACCTCTAACGGCATGGAGCCTGTGATCACAGCAGTAGGAAAAGCAAAGGCCTAGGAGAAAGGGATGCTCGATGTCGACTGGTGCCACCGTTTCACTGAACGCTACAAAAACGATAGGGCACGTCAACAAGAGCAACTAATTAACTAAAAGAAAAAGAAGCAATTTGAATAGATGACATATTGATTAGTAGTTAGATGAGCCTTTTTAGGCGCGTTCGAGTATCAAATCATATGTAAGTACTTTGCCTTGTCAGTGTTAATGACATGCTTTAGGACATCCATCGCAAAACAAAAGTCACTGGTAACGGAGACCATCGTTACCAATTCGCGCGACGCGTGCCTTTCTGGGGCCGGCATCGGCGAGTAATCGTTCAGGCTTAAGAATTTTTTGCGGCTCGTTTTCGGGAAAGTTTTGCGTGCAACATACATTTAAAATGGAATATTGCTTTTCGTCAGGTTCGTTTCCCTTTTCTGAGATAGCTCTCAATAGGATTTGGCGCAGTGTTGCTCATATTCGATAAATGGAGACTTTGCTTATTACAAAGTACTATCATAATTTAAGAACTATTATTTTTGTGTTTTTTTTTTTTGAAAAAACTAGGACCCTTTTTACAGTGCTTTCTTAGCATCTTCACCGTTCAAGTTTTCCTGTACACACTTAGCTATTCCTCCCCTATAGGCAACTACGACCAACTTGAGATCAAGAAATTTGTTCCTATCATGCATCTGCCATATATATCGTTCGTTCGCAAATAATGAAATACTTGCTTGTTTGATCTCTCTCCAGAACCGTCTCCGAGTCCAAATTTCGGAAACATCATCTCAGTGCGGTTGCCGTTCTTTTTAGTAACTGCACAACTAATATCTTCCCTTCCGGCCTTTTCCCTATAACAACAGACGTAAGCTTCCAGCACAAATTATATGTGTTCCTTGTCCAACGGCTGCTGCTGCACACACGCTAGTCATGGCAATGACGCGTCAAGGTAGGGCTCCCAGACCGGCCTCGCTCCTGCGGAAGCTGTCGAAACCTTGTATCCTCGGTGATAACCTTCGATAACATTATTTTTCCCTTCCTTTAGATGTTTTGACTATTTTTTCGCACAGTGTCATCCTTGTCGTGCGTCCTGGTACGCCAGTTCACTTCACTGAACCTCCTACCCAACACATCCGGTTGCCGACTGCAGGACAACGACGCATGTCCATATGTCCAAACTGCACCAGCCGCTGTTGCGACTCAGAAAAACGTTTCGAAGCAGAGAGACTATGTTTATTTCTGTTGGGGAAGAAATGAGAGAATAATATCTATGTATGAATATATAATGAATAAATTGGTATATATATAGAGGTGAACAAAAAGTATATATATTGAACACTGTCAAGTTACTCGTTTGCAAATTGTCGTAAGACATTTGCGTCATCCTGTATATGTCATCCTGTAACCCGATAATTCGGCTAAGTATCTATAAAACATACCCAGACGTACGCGCATGCAGGTGTACATTCGGCTCGACAACACTGGGGGGCGCCACATTAGGTGTTGCACCGGCAGAGCTACTTAGCAAGACAACTAATGGACGACGAGCACTGCAAATAGAGAGTGTCAACATGGCTGAATCTAAGGGATAGAACTGCTTTTTAGGCTAAGGGTGAACCATGAACTGAATGCGATATCTTCTATATAGTGATCTATGATTCATAGAAAGTACTTGAATTTGCGACATCTATTCTATATTGTATCGTCGATGTATTTGGATTAATCGAAACATAACTAGTGTAGACATGAATATTTACAAGTGGAGCAGGCTTTTCAGAACGTGACCAAGCCATATTGGCTTAAGTTTCTAATTGAGCTAAGTGAAGCGCCAGGTGACTCACGCCTAGGACATTTGTTTTTTTCTAGAGTCACCCAGAGGAGACAGAATTTAACGGCGCATGTTCCAATAGAATAACTATAGACACTTTAATGAAGCAACATAAAAAAACGTGGGCAACGCTATACAGGGCGATTTTTTTTTCGATCAACAAAACGTTAGAAATCATTATTAAATTCGAAGATTTTCATAGACGCTAAAACTGTATATAGTTTTAATATTCCGCATGGTTCGTTTCACTTAGACAGTAAAACAGCTTGAAAAAATTGCCACGAAACGAAAAAGGTCGTCTGCAATGTGGTTCGACAACGGTTTTTTATGCCCTTACAAAAACGTAATTTTGGCATGACGATCCGGAAGTGCGCTATTAAAACAGCAACAGGAACGCTGACGTTGGGCGGTAAACAAACTCACGTCGCAGTGCCCTGTAAATTATGAACGTATTACAGGCTCCTGCACGGTGCAGGCCATAGCCAGTACCCAAGTCAAAAGTATCGAACTATGCGATCGCGCATTGGAGTGATAAGTTCGGCTCGTGGGACGAAGGGCATCGACTTGCAAGGCCAATATCTTCATGCAGCATATGGCGGCAATCGCAATTTTGCATGCTTAATCGACAGCAATATTACTGGAGCATCTAGAGATGACTGCATAATGATTGCATTTGGACTTGCCGGCTATAGCAAAATAATGGGAGTCAGTTATCTCGACTGTTAAGTGTGTGATGCTGATTGCAAATTATCTAGTTTAGCCTTTTTTTTTTTACATAGCATATAATTATTAGTAGCATATAATCATACATTGGATTGTTGCAGTAAAGGCTTACAACTGCAATTGATGTATAGCAGGTAAACTAGTAGGTACTAACGGGCACAGAGTTGATTGTAAGCAGTTTCACTATATGGAGCCCTGGAGACAGCAAAAGGCAGGGTCATTGTACGTTAAAGAAATGGCTTTAATTGTGCACATTGCCAAAAATTATCTAGTGTTTCTGCTTTACCTTAAACACTTCACATATTCTAATAAGCTGCTTTTCTAGCTAACCGTTTTCGTCGATAGCACAATATCCATGAGTACCCCTGCACGCACAGATATTTTAGGTTCAGGTCAACGAGCGATGCTGCGAATATAGATTCTTGAGTACTAGCAATGCCTGTTCTGAAAAGCAGTCAAGTTCCTCATCTTAAAAAACCTTTACTACGATACTGCAACAAGGTCAGCTAGCCGATATATACGTAGGCAGGCTATATTAAAGACCGTTCTTACAACTGCTTCTCAGTGGCTGTCGTCCGTAACGAAGAAAATGTTCAGCAAAAACAGAAAGAGCAGACCACACGGAAGTTTTCGCCGAAGTCCACGGTCACGAAAAGGACGGACCCTTTACCATTAGTTGCTACAGCAGCAGAAATATAAACTACCTTGAATCTCAAAGTCAAAGTTCGACATTTTCCAACGCTGACCCAATTTATTATAGATAACTATATCAATACTAAATATTTACGTAGAAAATCGTATTAGGGCGAAACCGAAACGTCAGTCGAGTGTTACGTCTATAATAGCGAGTGAGCCATTGCCACCTGGATGGCGTCCTACGCGCCCTCTCTACTTCCCTAAGGAAGAACTGCAATGATCGCGGCACGACACAGAAACTGTCCTTCAAATTAATCAGAATGATAGCGATTTGCTGATCTTCAAAGATTTCCGAACAGTATTTCAATGTGGTATTTAGTTGTCTTGTTCTGGCCGAAGGCTTCATAGAATTCAGGCACAGGTTTCCTCGATCCCTGAAGATGAATTACGTCCTAGAAAATACAGCTCTAGGAGGATCGTCGCAAAATCGCTGCTTAATTTTCACCTCTATGAGTTTTTTTACTTCGTAGGATTGGAAATCGGAAAAAATTATCCGGAATTATAATGTTAAGGCCAAACCTTACATGACGAGTTCGCTTGTTAATAGTGCCCTTTAGTTTAGCATGTGTGCGCTAAAATATTAATTCATACAAACAAACACGGTCCCGATTCCATCTAGAGTTATTCTTCTAGTTTCTACTTTCGTTTTGAAACACAAGTATATTAGCTTATGCTCGTTTTTTCCATTTAATATAATGATCTTTCATTACTGGCTTAGAGTACAAAATGAGAGAACACTTAGTAGAAAGTGTTTGGAATTTTGTCATTTTTGTTTAAATCGAAGTTGTATTTCTCGTTCTGGTTTACGACTTGTATAAAATTCACTTACAGTTAAGTGTAGATCGGAACGTTTATTCACAGAAAGTGATATATTCAGAGGGCAAAACGGAAATATACGCTTTTCCTAAGCCTAGTACTCTGTGGCCACTATGTTATCTTTTGGGTAGATGAGATCATTTGAACTGCCACTTTCTGAAGCTCAAGGCCAGCCCCTTTGCTATATTTAATATATATATATATATATATAATTTAAAACTAATTGCGATTTTTATTTTATAAATCAAACTTCATAGTTACAAGTTGATCCAGAAAATGTTGTTCATACATTTTACGGCATCAGTTAATTCGCCATTATCTCTCAGAACATTCTCAGAGCGGTCTAAATGCTCCTAATGCTACAATGATTTGAATCAGTAATGACGCAAATCCACCCTGAGTTTCCTCTTTGAGGGGCAGCGATGTATCCGTTTATCACAAACGTTCCGCGTACGGCGTCACAACGCGATGCTGCGAAAGATGCTGCTTTGAGAAACATAGGGAAAGAAACTTCGAGTTACGTTAACTGTGAACTGGGAGGTTCTACTTTAAACATTAGCAACAGCGACAATCCTTTGCATATCATTATATACTTGGATCTTTTTTTTTGAAGATATATGTGCTGAAAGTAATAACGTATCATTTTTCCTAATTTTAGGGAGTCTAGACCTCTGTCTTCATTTACCCAGTTCCTATGTTTGCCATCCTGTAGTGAGACGATCGACTTATGTTTGAAGAAGATGTAGGCATCGTTCATTCAACTACGAGAGATACTGAGACCTTAAGCTGAATCGCTTGATGGCCACAATAGATGGAATGGTCCAACCGGATACACCGCCGTTCGGTCTAGCGGCATCGTGCCTTCCTGGTATTGTGTTTCCGACATCTGAAAGTATAACATAACTTCACTACACCCGATAAGCGAGCAATGGCTCCAAATATGGCTACATTAGCATGCATCCGGTAGTGGCCCAGTGGGAGAAATTTATGCGCTACATTTGAATGGAGTCAATACAAGGCAATATAATAGATAATAACAAATAAAAAATTCGAAGATGAACGGTCTTAAACGGTTGGTAAGCTGCGACCCCGCAACGGTTTCTTCGTAGGAATGATCCCTATCGATCCGTGGTCGCCATGCGAAGCCATGGCTATATGCAAAGTTTGAAAGCCTTCTGCCTTGACACCGGCAAAAAGGGCGTCAATTGTGGATTTGTGATAGGTCGCAAATTGCTTTTTTAACAAAAAGGCCATAATAGCATTGCGGTGAAGATCTCTGGCGTTGAAGCGAGTCGCTATTTCTAAAAAAAAAAAAAGTAACACAAGATCTATGCGTATGGATACCTATGAATATAAACAATCGAGCATTGTAGAACTCTCCGTAGAATACGGCTGCTTGAGAGATGGTGTAAGCCACACAGATGAAGGGCCTATCGAAAACGGTTTGGATCTTCGAAATGTACAGTGTACTACAATGGTAAACAATATGTGATCGATTGAAATTTATGACGCATGAAGAATAATTTGTACAGTCACGCAAACTATAAATGATCATAGATATCAATAACTGTACAGCATTAGCAGGCTGCGTAATGTTACGCTACGCAAAGTCATTACTATAATTAGGTTAACTTCTATAATATGTTAATCAACAAACGTTGGTCTAATAAAATTGAATTTGAATGAAATTACATAATCAACTTAGTATCCTGTTTCTCGTGTCGTAGTTATATAGGGCCGTTTGTCTAAACTGATTTTTTTCTTAAAAGTCCTGCTTTCCTTCAATTCATAAACAACTGTATGAGTTACTCTGCGATTGAACGTATCAAATTAGATCATAGAAAGTGTTTCCGTGGTAGCTCAGCGGCAATGCGTTCGTTTACTAACTTAGCCTAAAGGCACCTGGTGGTCTAGTTTTGAACCCAGGCTTAGACCCACATTCTTCAATGGCACCGGCGCCAGACGTAAACATTCGGGACAATTGTTTAGAATATAAAAAGCACGAGTAATATTCGCCTTAGCCATGAACCGCCACCGCGTTCGACCGTAAAGTGCCCAGAAGATCTATGATCTCGATTACAGAAGAAATAACAACGTATCTCTATCATTATCATTGCAGGATCATTCATTTTATACATTAATGCATTTCTGTCATCAACAGAAACTAGGTTTTTAAAGGATCGATCCTGGTTGACACGATATTGTCAACAGATATTTATTACCGTAGAATGAATGTCTGCATTGTGTATACTGTTAAAGGGTACAAGCGTATTCTGAAAAAGGCTGTGCAGGGAAAAGCCCGTATCAGCCTTAATTCATGGCTGTTCGTCAAACACGTCATCTGAGACAGTACTACGAGAAGCGGAACACTTTGTATACGTTCAAATACTCTGTATAGATTCTTGAATTAGTAGTTTAATTTTTCAGTTATTTACAAATACACGGAGCTCTATTATTAAATGAATCAGTCAAATTTAACCATAGCTCACGCGTGGCTCACGATAGTCGAAACCAATACTTAACTGGCGATTATTACAAATTTCAAAGGCGAATCGATTGGAATATTGTGAAGATACTGTGAATGAAGACAGTGAAGATTGCCATCATAACTCTGAGCCCGAATCGAAGCTGACCCGCTTGTTTGCGACAAAGACGATTTACAATATTTGATGATATACGAACAACGAACCACTGGGGCAAATATGTTGGGAAGACTTCCAATGTGCTATGGAAGCTATGTAGACCGTCAAACATAATGTCAGGGTCTAAGGATGTGAGGCAACGTTAACGATGCCCACTCCGTGAAAATGTCTCACGTTTTAGAGAGTATCGATATGGGCCTGCTTGAGCATGATTGGGATGCAATGTCTATGTTTTCGCTACTTCAAAAGCGTAAGTACAGACTTTTATACAGAAGGGCGTTGCCCGGTTTCAACATGATTACAAGAGTTGTTATGTCAAGCTTTCTCTGGCCCATTCTACATTTTGCAAACTAAATTCCTAGATACTTGGAGAATTCACGGCCAAATTTTTAATATGTAGAACTCATCAACAGCCTGAGGTGTCGTATAGTTTCAGCCCGCAAGGGCAGCCATCGCAAGTCAGATGAACTGGAATAGCCGGAGGATGCATATATGTATGTTCCGGCTCTTATATATATATATATATATATATACATACATATATATACGATATAAGATACTTTAGATGCCCCGAGTGTAATGCGCCCATTTTGCATAGTGAGTAGAGGAATTTGTTAATGCTGACAGCGACAGATCTCCATGTTTGAGTTTTGGTCTTAATCTGATAATAAATATTAGAACTAACTATCCTCCTGACTACGTATATCTACCAAGCATTACCTAAATCAAAAAACACATTGTGTATCCTCAATTTTTTTTACAGTAAGTGTTGCTGTGTTTATTGAACTCTGGTAATATTGTTTAATACAGTACTATAATTATCATAAATAATATTACATTACATAGACAAAATTTATTTTTCGACAACGTTGAATTTTTTTCACATTCTATTTTTGTTTGAGATGATTTAGTGTCATTAGAAAATCTCTTCAGTTTATCGCACTATAATTTCCTTTGCTTTTTCTTTTGCCGTAAAAAGAAAGCCTGAGTTTATTTCGTACATTTGTCCTAAACATTGTCGTCATCATCATCGTCGTCGTATAGAGAAATTACCATTTTCTTTTAGTTTCTATCTTCTCTCTCTTGGTTTTTTGGTCAATACCGTCCCCTGCTGGGTAGATAGCAGTTCTATCGATTCGTGTTCCAGTTGTCTGTGTGTCTATGTTCCTGTGGGTGTATGTTTATTTGCTATTTCCCTTATTGTCCACATGGGGGTCTTTATCGCTATTTCCAGGTGACATTTCCTATAGCAACTTCTCAATCCTACGTACAACTTCCCGTCCAAGATTAGTCCGTTTGATTCTGTCTTAGCCTCTAACGAAATGTCGTCTCTGTTTGTTACTGTTACTCAAATTGGTTTGAGCCAAAAATAGAATCAATCAATAAGCAAATCTTCACCGGATAAGTTGGCTATTGTTAATGGAGTTTTTAATTTTCGCCATTAATGCTTTATTTATTTTTTTTTTTGTTTTTTTATATGGTCTCATATATTTAGTTTGACGTCAATCATTGAGTTATATTGGCTGATGTCAGCATTGTAATTACCACTCGATTGAATTCGTTCCCACTGGTAACACAATAACAATTACATGACCGCTAATAATAATGATATAAATTGTATGTGCAGCAATATATTAAAGTAAGACATTTGGGCTGGCATTTACATTACATAAACAAAAATACTCATATTTTTAATAATTAGTTTTTCCCCATATTCGGTCTGCTCAATCTGTCTTCCTTTGTTTACGTTTCGCTCGTATCTTTCCTCATTTAACAAATCGAATCTTTCTCATCCTTTCTTGTTATCAGTAATAGCATCCTTTACTCAAGAATCATAAAGTCTATTTATCGTCAATTAATTTACTAGTTAGTTAGCTTAAAGATCACAGACGAAAGGTTACGACCACTCTTCTCAGCGTGACATCAGCCATTTCACGTGTGTCGCTAAACCACCGCCACTCATTTCAACAAAAAAAAACAAACGATCAGTAACCCGAGGTCGATAGCCAGCCACCCCCGAGCCCCTTGGGGAAAATTTATCTTTTTTTTAATCTACTCACTGATTAACAAGGTGTTGGTCGCCTTTGATCTTCGTCACTTCAATACTGCTCCGATAATTTGGCGACATCATCACATAACCAATTACCAATGTGCTAGAATACACGACGCGTCTACACATCACACATCGGCTACCAGTGAGCACATAGCGAAATAGTTGTTCTGGCTGATCAGAGCGGCCGCAGCCAAGTTAGGTCGGCGAATTGCTGAGGTTCACCGACTCAGGTTAATCCTGAAAGCCACGCCGATAGTTACATTAGCTGTCACTGTCGTCCTTTTAAGGAACTATCAGTAACTGTCGCTTTTAGATGTTTCGAGCACGTGGATATTAAGTAATAGAAAGTTTGAGTAGTGTGGGCATCGCACGCCGATCTATATAT